AAAAGTTTAAATGATATGAGTAAGCGTATTTCTACCAGATTTTTAAACATCTGGACCATTCGTCTAAGCATTCTGGTCCTGGGCAGGGCTCTATTAATTTGTATTCTACTGAGAGAAGTTATTCCCCTTTTCCATTCACCTTTAATAATTAATCACTGTAAATAATGTATTTGAAAGGTTAATAGAATAAGATAATTATGCAAGAATGTTTATCATATAATTAAAAAAGTACTTTCTTAGTTTTAATAATCAGGTAGACCTGTAAGTAATAGGTAAATAAAAATGAGACAAAAATAACTTATCTTATTAAAAGTTCTTCAAAGACCATAAGAGAGGTCAATGCTAGAGGTCTTAATATGGGTTTATAAATAGTATAGAAGCACTAATAGTTTGTTAATAGGCTGCATGGTGATTAGTGTTAAGTGGGGGACAGATTAGAACTCAATTTCTGAGTTGATAGTGAATACTAGACTAATTATTTTGTTGATCCTGATCTTCGTACTTCTCTTGTTTTTGTTCCTCTGCTCTGCCTCTGGGTATTAAGTAATCAAAGTAAGCATGCTAACTGTATAGTTATAATGAGCAATAGTGCCTCTTTCAAAATTGTGAATTACATGGCCTCTGGTTTAAAATACAAACCAAATTCAATTGTTGGAAAGTTGTTACACGATACTCAGGTGACCTATAAGGCCCGTGGGCCTCTTGTTTATTTTGCAGACCATATCAGAGATATGCATATTACTTGGATTTTGATTTTGAATATAAGTGAAAAAAAATCCAGCTGTTTAACTTGAGACACATTTCTATGCAAAATATTCTAATAGGGGTTTATTGATTTTGTTGGGATGTCACCTTCTAAAAATTTCACGGATTCTTTTTTTTTTTGGCAGATCAATTGTACATTTATCAAAGATATGTATATTACTTCAATTTTGATTTTTAATAATAGATTAGAAAAATGCCAGCTGTTAAAATTAGCCATTTCTATGCACATTATTCTAATAAGGTACATTGATAAGGTTGGGATGTTCCTTCCTTTAGTTTTCAGAATAGAAAGTTTTTATAATTCATATGAAAAAAGACCCTGTACTGTTCACAAAAAGAAAATCCAGTTTGCTGTCAGATTAACAGCTTTCCCCTTGTTTAAAATTCCCAAGCTGTTACCATGGCAATCAAGACACATAGCAATTAAATTTTGTCTGATATATATTTCTAGTGTCAAGCTGTAATAATGGGCAAAGTTTTATGAAAATTGATGAGCATGCATGCCAAAAAGTTTAGTGGGTACAGAGAATAGCTCTTGAATTATCCTTAGGGCCTTATGTTGTAAACTAAATTTTTATCAAAAATTATGAAATGCTGATGCTTAATCAATGCATAAATAAGAAAAAATAACAAGTTTATCCACTTTATTTTTTAAAGTTTTCTCAAAAATGTGCTTTAAAGTGACATAATATTATACAGAGGTATATTTTGCTGAAGGTTTTTATAACTTAATGTTAGATAGTGAAAGAACTTTAAAATTTCGATAGTAATGAAAAAGGTGAAGATAAGTAAATAACAAACAGTGATCTCCGAAAAAAAAAATACAAACAGTACAAATCTGCAAATATAACTAGGAATAAAATGCGAACTCTTTGAAACTTCAGAGTTGGAGTCAAGTGCCTAACCTCCTCTGTCGACCAGTCACACCTGCTGTGGGCTCTATGTATTGTTCAGGTAGACAGAATATTCCAGAGTTAAATTTAGTGTAAAAACAAAGACCTAACTACTGGTATGAAATATGTCAACAAAAATATGACTCAATGATAGAATATATTTGCTAAAAAGGTGATTATTACGACCATAGAATTCACGAAATGCTGACTTTAATGAGGTTGTAAAAATCATTGTAACATCAACCTATCTGTCAGTAGCCTGCCTCAGTTTAAGATTGATCATATTCAGAGCATGCTCTTTAGTATGAAAAAAGTTGGGAGACATGAACACATTGCATGTGCAGGTGATAGCAGACTATTGAAGGAAAGTTGATGATTGAAAAGGGAAATCTTGTTTGTCATACAATTAGTTGTTAGTCAACTTGGTCCTTATCATTTATAGTCGGTAAAACATCCAAATATGAAAAAAGATGTGACAGATTCTGAGGTGTCTTTAATTTCAAGTTCACTGGGATTTCTTGAGTCAATGTGAATGGAAGTAACTATTGTTGATTGATAAAACATCGTGGGGATATCTGAATGTTGAGTTGAAGGTCAAAGTAAGTTTTTTTTCTTCTCATAATTATACAAGTTTTCAAATAAATTCTACTTCATAGGAATATAAAAACAGATCTGCTAATAAAGGAGCACAATAAATGGCCGTGAAATTCAAACAGTTAATGGAAAGATCTACTCTCCAAAGACTAATAGATTTGTTCATATAGGGATTCCAGGATCCTTTTAATATCAACTTCAGAGTACTTGTGTGTAGAATCAGAAAGAAGACCAATAAAGTTAAAGAGATTTTAAATGAAAGAAATTTCTTAGAGTTATCTCTCTTCATGTTATTCTGCTAAACTTTCATACTATGATTCAAAATTTTTGTGTTAACACCTACGTAAACCCTAGGTTTTCAAAATAAGGCGAGAATTGAGCTTAGACATACTAACATAATCTACTACTACTCTCAGCACTGTAAATTGAGAATTTTTTCTTCTCATCTTTATGTGTGCAAATTATTTTTTCAACATAAGAAAATATATAATACTATCTTGAAGAATATGTTTGTGTGTGTGTGTGTGTGTGTGTTTTTATTGATGCTGTGGTTATATTTGCCAAGATTTTTTTGATGTAAACATTTAAATACAAGATATCAGTAATCTTTAGTTTGTCAGGATAAGAGAAATATTTAGTGATAACAAATTTATATGCATTTGCTGCAGTATTTGGAAAAGGATTGGGATGGGATATAAAGTAGATTAATACTTTTAATAATTACAAAATAACATTAGCTACGAAAAACCATTTTCATACAAGTTGACTGCATGCAAAAAAAAGAACGATTTATCTTGAATAATTGCAAGTTTAATATGCTGCAAAGTTATGCATTAATGTATAGAAAAACAGCAAGCTGCAGATTAATTGGCATAAGAAATATTTCTTTGAGTGTTATTAATGTCACAGAAATCTCCCCTTCTTAACAACTCTGCCTTCTTCCTCATAGAAGATCATAGGAGCATTTACCGGCACCTCACTATGGCCATCTCTCTGTACGAAAAACAAGCTCTATGATGTTAATGTATATGACATGGACATGTAGTACATGGAAGTCTGTGATGTTCATTTGCTCTCCCATCCTTTCCACTTTAGCTTCCCATTTGTTCTTTATTTCTCTTTATTACATGTGTAGTAGGTCCATTTAGAAACCATTTTCAGATAGTTTCATCAAATTTTATACATGTAAATATGCACAGAAACATATGATATCTGACATCGATCTTTACTGCCTGGGTGTCACTTTCTGATTTGCTTCTTAAACTATTTCTTTTTTATACACTGTTTTCCTAAGGCCATGCTTAAAAAATTAGTTGTTTGGGATTGCCGCCTGGAGGGTTTCAGACCAAGGGGGAGGGAGGGATTTTTTTTTAAAATTGAAGTTACATTTAAAATTTTTGACAAAAATTTTGATAAACAGTAAGCACGTTATTGTCTGACTTTTTGATTTATTGATTGATTGTATGTTGTTTAACGTCCCATTCAAGAATTTTTCACTCATATAGAGACGTCACCATATACCGGTGAAGGGCTTCAAATTTTGACCTTTACTCGGCACTCAGGGCCATTGAGCAGTGAGGGATCTTTATCGTGCCAACGCCTGTCGTGACAGGGTGCCTCGGTTTTTAAAGTCTCATCCGAAGGACCCGCAACTTTCACTTCAAAGTGCCGAGCCCATGGCGAAGGAACAGTTGCTACCTATTTTTATCGACTTAGGTCAGTCGCGGCTGAGTTTCGAACTCACGACCTTCCGATCACAAAGCGAGCGCTCTACCGACTGAGCTACCGTGAACGGTGTCTGACTTTTTGAGAAAAAAAAGTATCTCCCATCAACCAAGAACCCCGATAGGCCAAGAATTGATTACGTGTAAATAAAAAAAATATCTTCTTATTTTTGGTCAATAACATTTTTTGAGGAGGAGTGATTTCAAACAAACTATAATTTTATTTTGGCCTAAATTTATTATCTTCATGAAGTATGTGGAAACTGGATTTAGTTGTAAAGGAATGCTTCACAGATGCATCTCATAGAGAACATTATGACTGAAAATATAGTACTTACCTTTCCTTAGATCTTGATTTTTTTTAAGGAATTAATTTAATAGAAACGGTTTATAAAGCGTAAAATGCCCCAACCCAGTTTATACCATATAAATTGGGTAGCTATTAAATTCATCCTTGTTATTTAATTTTCATTCATTTATTGTAAAAAAAAATGATTGCCCATAAAAATGACCTCAAATTATACAAAATTTAAATGTAACATCAGGCGGACCAATACGTTTTTGATGCAAGTCTTGTGGAAAAGATTTTTAAGACCCTATCGTATTTTTGCCTTTTCTTGATTACTCTTTTTGCAAAGGGGATTGATCCTTCATTTTAACAGTTTATAATCCCCTTAACTCAGGGATGCTTTTACAAGCTTTGATTAGAATTGGCCCAGTGGTTCTTGAGAAGAAGTTGAAAATTTTAAAAGTTTACAGAAGGAAGGACAGACGGGCGGACGCCCATCAGCGGGTGATCAGCTTTCAGCTCAGATTAACTGAAAATGTATGAAAACTCAAGGAAGATAATTTCTTGGAAATACTTTAGAAATACTTCAAATTATTCTCACATGAAGGTACTTTCTGGCCTTTATAGGAAGAAAAGTTATTTCTTGTCACATTGATTTGGTTGCAGCCTTTCATACTACCGGTATTTGAATTCAAACTTACAGTGCTTTATACATTTTTGAATTTTGATTTCCAGAATGTTGTCAACAATTGGGAATTATTCAGGTTAGCAGTAGGGCACTTGTTGGGCAAAAAAGCGGTAAGTTTTAAATGCAGTAAAGTCAAGAAGAGTACTGATGTTTTCAAAACATTTTTGACCTGTAGTAATATGTACAATACATTCCAGGGAGAAAATGGCAATATTGAAGCCATAAAATTTGTTTAATGCCATAGAAAATGCATTTATAGAAAACTTATTAAATGTCTGACATTTAAATCTCAAGAAAAATGTTAGTAGAATGCATTTAGAGCTTGCTGAGTGAGTGCTTAATACGACTAATATGTATAGCTCAACTACTGTGTATCACAGTCTAAGTCATCCTGAAATGGTAAATTATTATGAAACGGAGACTTGTTATCTGTATGCAAGAAAAAACACACTACCTTTGTACGTGTTACAGAGGTCAACTAGACTATCATTTTCTCAAATGGAAGGAAACATAATCTTAATTTTATTAATAGGTGTGGACAGGTGGGAATTATTTTATGTTGTCGAATATTTTTGAATGAATGAATCGCTTTAAAGAACGCGACAGTTATACACGCAAAAAAATACGATTACAGGACATCATTACTGTCTTAGCGATGAGCAGTACCTGAAGGAAACAAAACTATAATAAGTAGATGAAAAACAACCCTGACATGCGATAGAAATTAGAAGAAACTATTCACGCGAGGGTAAGGACCTTTTATGGTAGTGCATCGAGTATAAACAACTTTATGTGTAAATGTCTGTTGCTGTAATTTCCGGCACGGTATGGTGTCTGTATGAGTCTTTGTCACCATCTAAACTACTGTAGATATTGGCATTTGAAAACTGAAATAGCACCGCAGCTGTGAGAAGTCTGGTGCTATTTTTCTTAGAAAAGTCGCTGACATGATGACAAGTAGGGGACCTTTGTTATAGCCGAGACCAGCAGCTGTAAGCGATTTGTCCAGCTCCCGAGTGAGCTTTGATTTGTTCAGGAGTCGATATACTCCAAAAACTGCTAAAGAAAAAGAATAAAACGAAGTCCATGGAGAATAGAGAAAACATTTCGCAGTAATAAACTCTTATCTAAAGTCGTGTAAAGAGCGGGAGATTGAGAATTTTACTTGTATCAATTTTGTGGACGAAGAGAGCTCACATAATAGCCTCAAAGAATTAAGAATGCAAAGAAGAAAAGAACGACAAAGTGTCCATGGATCGTTGATATCTAATGCGTGCTTTGGAAAAATTTCTTTCAACCACCCCCCCCCCCCTCCCCCAAAGGCACAGTATTTTGCCTGTCTACAGTGTAATTCGTTTCATTCGACGGGTTTTAACTCGCAACTCCAATTAAATAGGTATTCAGGTACAAACATATGTATTGGCGTTCATGTTAGAAAGAATGGGGGCGTATATTTTCCGTACAAGGCAAAGATAAACCCCGCTCCGAGACATTTTTTTCTCAATTTTCAAAGTTCATTGAAATGCTATATTTTTTTCAAAACTTACACTGTCAGTAATGTCATGTTTAACACAATTGATTCATTTATTTTATAGAATAACTTAATGATTGATAATTTCCCTTAAGTTGACAGTGAAGCATATTTAGTGGAAAATCGGTCTTTTGGCGCCATAAAAGTGATTTTTGAATATGAATGGTTTAAGTTTTCATTCTACTCTAATGTTTAAATGACTGGAAAATGACTGTTTAGTCTGTTTAATGTTTTTTAAAAAAGGAAGCTAACCCATTTTATAAGAAAATCCAACATTTCTGAAAAAAGAAACTCGTTTATTTAAACCGTACTTCAATCATACGAAGATTTCGCAGCGTATATACGTAGTGGTTATGCGTTAAACATTGCGCCTTCCCGCAAGCTTTGGAGAAAGTTCGAATCATATGTGAGGCTTTCTAATCTTTTCACATATCTTAAAAACATTACTGAAAAATGATTTATCAGTAAGTAATTCAGTAAAATAAAGGAATCAAATATGTAAAAGATGATATTGCCAACATTTTTTTTTTTTGAACTTCAGGAACTGAGAAATATCTTGACTCAGAGCGGGGGATTGTCCAACCCTTGTACGCCTTCATTCTTTAGCAATACAAATTAAAGCCTGCATTGATTATACATATATCATCTAAATGAAAAACTCAACTTTAATCTAGAACGCTTTCGTCCCATGCAGATTGAGTCAGTAGTTTTCAAATTATAAACAAAAGGGCGAAAGCGCCATGGATTAAAGTTAGTTTTTCATTTAAGTTTGGAATTTATTTTACCCCTATACCAAAGAAAAAAGATTTTATTGAATATATATATATATATATATATATATATATATATATATATATATATATATATATATATATATATATATATATATATAAATCTTTAATGATGTTATAAACAGATTAGGGATAATTGTACTCTGTTCTGTTCGTTGAATATCTGCGATATGAATTTAACTTAAATTAGAACTTGTAATGGAGGTAGCAATATATTTAAGGTTTATTTCATTACATAACTATTTTGAACACTACATTTGAGCCTCTGTTCAATGCTTCGGAGCACATAAATGCGCGAATCGATGTTTCGACCTTGCATCTACCAATGGAAAATGAGAGAAGTTGCGTCATATTGCTGAGATAGGCCTCAACCTCATATTCACGTAAGTTTATCTTTCTTCTTTTTTTTCAAATGGATTAATTATATATAATTTCATATTGAATGGTAAAAAATATTTCTGACTTGACATCATTGATTTTTTTATTGTGCATGAATATGTTAATTCTGTCCACTTTGTGTGTGTTTTTCTGTTTGATCTTGAATAATTAACTGGAGGAAGGCTTTGAAATATGATAACCGCTCAATGTAAGTAAAAACACAGTATGTGTAACTAGATATCTTAGAAAATTCAAATTCTTTCTGCATGATTTGAATTCATAGTTATTATATTTATATGGGAAAAAGAAAGGGTTCAAATATTTTTTTGAAAATTATTTTCAATCTAGCACCTGGTTGATAATGAGCAAAATCTTAAACCAATAAAATGAGACCTAAAAGCCAGTTAACCCTGGAATCTTCAATTGAATAAAATCTCACAACCTTCTGAAATTAGCCTTCTCTGTGTGGTGTTTATTAAGCTCTTGTCAGGAGTGATTAGAAATCTATGATACTTATCTTACACAAAGTGAAATAGCTATATCGTTGCAAAAATTCCCATTACACATCTTGTTCTACGATACTTGATTTTACAAGGCAGCGAGTGTTTTTTTTTTTGGGGGGGGGGGGGGGGATGGGGGAGGGGAAGTAAGAATGTTAAAATTGATTGGACTTGATATATGAATTACAATGTATGAATTGTTAGCAGAGGTACTTAATGGATTACCGTAACTGAGGGTCACATTGTACAATAACGTATAGTCATGATTATTACAGGAAAGACAATGCAAGACCTAACACCATTATACTCCAAATAAATAACAATAAATTGTCGTAAATCGTGCTTACAATCACGCTTTCTCAGACACTGGAGGAGATTGTGATACAGAATTTCAGAGATAAGCGATGTGCTATTAATTGTGGTGTGTTTCTATGTGACTTATACTGTATCTACGAGAAGTTTTATGGCGCAAGTCGCGCACTTTTATATTTTATGAACTTTGTTAATATTTCTGGGATAGGGATTAAGATGGCGGAGTGACAAAGTTTTTTTTCTGTTGTTTTTGTTTTTGTTTTTTGTTTTTTTTTTTTGTTTTTGTTTTTTTTTTTTTTTTTTTTTTTTTTTTTTGTTTTTTTTTTGTTTTTTGTTTTTTTTTAAATTTATATCTATAATGAGATTTATAAAGATCTATTTATGAAATGCTTACGACACTTTCTTATCCTTTCTTATAAATGACAATTCGACGTCTAATCTGCCTTTTTGCTTTAGAAATTGGTCTCATTGATAAAGTACCCAAGAAGTCAAATGCGTATTGAGTGATGATAAAAAATGTTTTATAGACAAAAAATGATAGAGTTTCTGAATATATCTACGAAGACAAAGGAAATAAAAATTGTAGAGAGAATAATTTCCGTTGAGCAAGTCGATTATCTGAGCATAGTTTGAAGTCTTCTCGTATGACAATCACTGAACAAAAGCTAATGAAAATTATGAAGATGCTAGAACAAATGCTATTTCATTTAATTGCTGCATTCCATTTTGATTTATACCAACCACCTGTGTATGAGGAATATATTTTATTTATGTATTTATTTATTTATTTATTTTTGTATACTAAGCAATTTTGACGATTCCCATTCTTTCCATAAATCAAACTTTGTAGAGTTAAGAAGTTTTATGGTGAAAGTGGTCTCATCAATGTCAGTCACCCCTCTTTAAGCTTTGTTTGCTTTAGGAAGAGATTGAATATCTTATTCCTTACATCCAAATGGTCAGCTTTTTAAAATTTGGGAGAAAATACCAAAAAAAACGTTTTTTGGTAACATCACAAAAGATGAAATACTTGATTAAATTCACGATTATCTAAATATTTCTTATATTTGCTTGTGATAGCTGATATCCTTTTTTTATTTTTCAAAACATGTCTTTCTGAAATTTCACGGAAATATTCAAATGAGATGTAACTCCTGCCTGAGTTCGAGGTCAAGGTCGCTGCTGCTCATTGAGCTCTCCAATATAGGAAACATCAAATTCCCTTGAAGACATAACTGCTAAATATGAATATAGATGAGTAATAACAGACTCGTGTTTGTTGGTATCTCCAATTCTTTGATCCCTTGTTCACAATTATCTGTTTAGACTAAAACATAGGCTTTGCCAAACTATAACACCATACTTCGAACGTTAGCTTTATTTGTTCACGTCCTGTTTCATGACCTTGATCCAAAGGTATAGCTCCAGGAAACTCTTCTCGATAGTGATTAACCGAATGTGTATGTCGGATCAGTTACTATGCTTCACACAGCATTATGGTGTATTGACCTCGATCTGAGGAAATGTCCCCAATGTCATGGGCAGTTTTCATGCAAGGGTAATTATAAATCAGATCATTCTATAGTGACAAGAAAAACACATCGCACAAATACAATATTTACTTGTATGTTATGCATTTCAAGCCTCATACTAAAAGAAATTGGAAGTTTCGCCACGTTTCTTTTATTATGGTCGGTCTGATTTTTTGCATTGCGGCCATTGAAATAGTAGCTATGAAAAACAGGTGCGTATTCTCGGAATCTCGTCAAATAATCCCCCGTGTACTTTAATACTAATGTAGTCGATATTGTTTCCATCAGTTATGTTTATATTACATAGTAATAATATTGATATCAGCTGATTTTAGGTGTTTCTTTTAGATAAGGCTTTTGGTTTTATTTCCCAGTTCGAATCAATGATCGGCTTGTAGATCTGTAAGTGCTAGTGAATATATATTATAGAGATGTTCAAATTTAATGACTTATTTTGGTTTAACTTGTGAATGTCCGAAAGTTAGGTCAAGATAACCCCATTCTGATGGTTTTGAATATTGATATTTTAGGGGATAGTCCTAAGTCGTTCGTTGTTACATGAAATTAATATATATTTTAAGAAAAGAAATGCACGGTAAAGAAGTAAATGCTGCACCATTATGGAATATGTTGCACAGCACGATTTCCAATGACTTTGTGTATTTTTTGTCTTAGTTCGTAAACACGCTATTTTCGTATCCCGAGATAAGTGTTTCTACGACCCTCTACATGCAAAACACACTATAATAATTTGAAAATTATATAAAAAAACAAAATTAAAATTATGCTGAGATAGTTAAGAAAAGAATGCGCCATATTGTTTTGTGCTTTGACATACTTTCTTGTAGTATAGGACAGTTTTGATAAGATGTTATTTATACCTCCATTCGATTTTAACATTAAACTATAAAAAGTGTAATGCACTTCGTGGAAGTTTTGTTGGTGCTTTTCAATTATGTGCATATCCAAGACTTTTTTTAAAGATAATATATCGTATAAAAATTGTTTGAGACATATAAGGCGCGTTTATTTTGAAATCGTCATTAGTAATAATAATAACAATCAAATGGTTGAAGGAAAAAAACCCCTATCATTTATACTACCAGCCGGAAATGATGTTTTAGCTCACCAGAGATGTGAGATACTCTGACCAACATTTGACCTGTGTATAGTTGTATTCCTGCCTATATCTTCTTCAAAAATCATTACGCTGTTTTGAACCGAAGTTGTGACAAATTAATTACGTGAACTTTTTTTTTGAAGTCTAAATCATATACTTTAAAATGTTTAATGTTGTGCTTGGATGCATTACAAATGTTATTTTTATTTTATATTAGATCCATATCAGAAAAAAAAATTTTACAGTAGTACTATAAAATTATTACTGAAGATAAATTGTGTGCTTCTTTCATTCATATATTTATGCGTGTTTTAAAAGGTTTTTCAGCCTTTTAAAAAAAGCAAAATTCAAAAAGTTCAGTCCTGCATTTTAACACCTCAGCAGTAAATGTAGCAGTATTAACCGTGACTTTGCATTCTATCTAAAAGATATATATGGCAAAGATTTATTATCTAGGGTTTAAAATTAGTAACCATTTACGGAATGTTTGTGATATAACGTCATATTAATATAAATGATAAAGCAGCGGAGATAGATGTAGTGAGAGAGATACATTGTATGATTGCTTTACCAATTGTACCGTTATTTGCAGGACATTGTGCCAACGACTTTGTAACGTTGTTTGTAGAGAGATATTTAGCGCAATAACAATTGCCGATTCCATTAATTGGTGTGGATTTGTGTTTTTCCAAGATTACCAACAGATGTCTGTGACGGAAATAAACGCCATCCTAGTAAGTGATGTTTTTGGTAATTTACAAAGAATACACAGGAATTCATTTATTTTAGATATATTTGAGAGCACTTTTAAATGATATAAAAAGCATCTGCAGTGTATTGTGTTCAAGATTTTCATTTATAAATATTTAACTTATATTTGTGATTAGAGTATTTTAAAATAAGGATGTGAATATGTGTTAAACATAATTATTGTATTAAATTTGAATTGTTTCAAATTCGACGTATCTCAGTGATGAGAAGGGGGTATTGACAAAACATTTCATAATGCTTGTCTTAAATAGCATAAAGGACACATCGGTGAGTTCTGGAAGAATTCTAAATAATAATACAGACTTAACACACAATGCTTATTACTTTTCCACTGAATAAATCAAAGGGTTACTGCCACACACCGTGAAATGATGTTGGCACGTGATCACCACTTACAAATTAGAAAGCATATGCGGTGGGGGGTAACTTTTGCTTGTCATGATGTTCAGTGTGATAAGGTCACGAAAAGCCCCGTTTGTTCCCCCTTGCCTAAGCATTAGGTTAGAATTCAGCGTGATAAGGTCACGAAAAGTCCTGTTTGTTTTCCCTTGCCTAAACATTTAGTTAGAAATCAGTGTGATAAGGTCACAAAAAGTCCTGTTTGTTTCCCCTTGTCTAAACATTAAGTTAGAATTCAGTGTGATAAGGTCACGAAAAGTCCTGTTTGTTTCCCATTGTCTAAACATTAAGTTAGAATTCAGTGTGATAAGGTCACGAAAAGCGCCGTTTGTTTTCCCGGCCTTAACATTAAGTTAGAATTCAGTGTGATAAATCACGAAAAGTCACAAGTTTCAATTTGCCTTACCTTTTGTTTCTTATATTTGTCTCAAATTATCCATATTATTATTGATGCTAACGTAAGGATTTGATGAAAATTTTAGTTTGCAGCCTTCTTACCAACTTATCTATATACCGATCACCCTGGGGGCTAGATAGTTAAAGAAATCCTGTAGTTAACCAATTCTTTTAATCTCAACAAGTGTATTTTTCACATACCTTACTTTTATGTAAGATGTATTAAATTTAATTATCATTGACTATTGTTAATAAATTTCAGTTAATGAATGTAAACATCATGTGTTTATGTCTTCTATTACCAATACTAGTACCTCAATAGCATTAAAGACCCAAAAATCACGAGAACCACAAATTTAAAATTAATATTGAAATAGAATAGTTCTGATTTATTTATTTAAAATTCAACTATTGTATATTATGTATGAAAATTAATAAGTTTATCCCTGCATTAGAATAGGTAAAACAAATGCTAAGCTCTAACGTTATTAATATCAAACGTCACACCTGTCCTTGTATATTATATTAGCCTAATATTTATGCTTTCATTTTTGGAAACCTTGATAAATGGTGATCTTTTTATAGTATCTCCCTAACGCATAACATGTTTAAATTTTCTACCAGTATTTAGTTGTTTTTTCTTTCTTTTTTTTTTCTTTTTTTTTTTGTACCTTCAAGAGTTGTCAAATTGAAAGCGTTTTGTTTAAAATTTGCACGTAGATTTTTTTTAAAAGAAATCATATGCTGATATCTGTGATCTCTAGATATTGTAACAGAGTAAGTAAAAGTAGTTAAATTGGTTATATGAATTATTTTTTTTAGGTTAATTTGTCAAAAGTCTGTTTCTTTAAGCAATATTCGGAGTTATATGATTGTCACTTAGTAGTTTGCCTTGCAGATGTCGGCCATTGGTGTCACTACTAATTTTGTCTATCGATCTCTAAATTTCATACACTCTACAAATGTGCTGTCTTTATTATATTCTACATCTTATTTTCTGTTTGTCCTGTAACATTTTTGCATTGTTATGTATAACTGATCTGAAGCTTTTCTTTATCTTATACTGTATTCCGCTCTACTCCTCCTACGTATGCCATAGGTTTGGACTCCGTAGTTCCATACCGGTAAAAATGTTGGCCAATCTGTCACACTTGGTTTTTTTGCAATCTTTTTTTTTTGTACACTCTTACAAATATTGAGCTGACTGTTGGTATGTTTGTCAACCTTGAAAAGTTACAGATCAGGATTGAATTTTTGTTCCGCTCCGATGATTTTTAACAGAATTTCTTCTTTTTAAAAATTTATTTTTATGGGGAAGCAGATTACACTTGTCGGATGATTACCGGCATTGTTTATGCAATACTCTCATGCAGGGTTCTTGTTTCGACGTGTTATTTTTCCTCGTCAGGTCAACGGTTTTTATTCCTTTCTCCGTGAGTTTACTGTGTTTACTTTCTGTAGACAAGGAATCTTATTTGTCACTCTTTAGGGTGATGGTTGTGTTCAGTGTTACATGGTTGTAGAAAAAGGCTCGTAATTATCGTGCGATGACGAATAATTAGTCTCTAATGTTACCCCCTTCATCGTGTATAGATTTTCCAAGGCATGTCTCATTAGCTACTTCCGTTAAATTCCCTCCGTTTCCTCCCCCGGATCAGCTGATGTAAGGGATTCAAAATAATTGTAAATGTTAAAGATAAATATCAGGTTGTTTGAACCGAAGGTTTGGATTGAGACTAGTCCTGTTCATGTAGATACTCTAGAGAATCTGATGGATATAGAATTATTTTTTATAACAGTGTCTTCTTTCTTTATATCATTTTGAAACTGAAAGTGGAAGTGAAGTATTACAAAACATAAGAATTGCAAACCATAGAGATAGTCGTTCATAGAAAGTTGAAAGATTTGAGCACTTTGCTTTTCTTATTATATGTATTCTAAAATAGATCCAGAACTCTTTTTATAGCAGTTGATGAATGAACAGAATGTCTTGGCACAATCTTTTATCATTATATTTTAGCATTGTCCAGAAGACAAGAATCTCAGTAAATAAAGGTTTTAAGTACAAAATTTCAATTTTATGTGTAACTTTTTAGTATTTTTCCCCAATATTTAACAAGAAAGCATTTACATTTGACTATTTCTTCGTTTTTTATCATTCTTATGTCTCTGTTTTCCTCTAATTATGAATTAACTGTGTTACAACATGGTGATTGCTAAAAGCTTCAAAATTCTGAGTTTCGAAATATTAACTTTGGTTGAGTGTTTCAAACTGTTGATTTAAACGAAGGTTCTTGAAAAAAATAACAAATGTGAAGTTTTCCAAGATGCACAACTGAGTTTCAATTCTTTCGATGTTACGTTTTTAGAGACCAGGTCTTCCAACAATCTGTTGGATTTCCGTTGGATATCAATTGTGCCCCGTTATTAGCAGAATTTCTTCAAAAACTTCAACATGAAAAGAAGTCGCTAGCTTTGGCAATCAATTTGACATTTAGACATATCGACGATGTTTCATCAACACCATTCATTTTTATACCTACGTTGATTCCATATATCCCATTGAAGTCGAATTACAAGATACCATACTGTGACATATTTGTATCATCTTTGTATTTTTTTACTGGAGAAAGACATTAATGGCAAACTAACAACTAAACTTTATGATAAACCTATACGTAATGATTTCCATTTTTCAACTTCCCTTATTTATGTAGCAGTGCACCATTATCACATGCATACGGAGATTATGGTGATAATATATTTGATTTGATACGCAAGAGCCTCTTCTACGTACGAATATAGTGCATGTAGTTGAGGATAACAAACATCTAAAAAGAACCTTCAATCAATAGTAATCTTCGAACAGGGCACTAAACAAGGACTCCTGGAAATTCTAGAGATGGGATCAGGTTCCTAGGAGGTGTAAGCATCCCCTGTTGACCGGCCACAACTGTCGTTAGCCCTATGTATTGATTAGGTAGGCGGAATAACCCGTAAGTAAATTCAGTATTTCTTAAACGAGACAGGCTATTGACAAATAAGTTGATGATAGTCAACATTTGATTTCGCAAATTTTATGGTCGAAACAATGACCTTTTCTGCAATTACAATAAAAAAAGTGAAGATAAGATTGATTGATCTCAAGAAAACTTACAAACAATACAAATCTGAACAGGGCATAAAATACGGACCCTCGTAAATTCCAGAGGTGGGATCAGGTGCCTAGGAGGAGTAAAAATACCCTGTCGACCGGTCATATTCACCATGAGCCCTATGTATTTATCAGATAGACAGGATATTTCGTAGTCAAATTAAATGTAAAATAAAAGGCCTTGCAATTGGTATTAAATATGGCAGTCAAAATACGACCCGTTGACAGGTTTTAATTGCTTACAAGGTTATAACGACAATAGAATCTAAGAAACGCTAACATTAAAAGAAGTTGTTGAATCCCTGTAACATGAACTTATCTGTCAGTAGCCTGCCTCGGTTTAAAAATTGATCGTACTAAGGGCACGTTCTTGAGTATCGAATAAGATGGAAAGCCATAACACCATATGCAGGTTATAGCTTAATATTAGTATATAGATAAGGAAAGTTGACGGTGGAAAAGCTATGTCATCTCCATTGTCATACTGTTGAGTTGTTAGTTGGCTCTTATCGTCTATAGTTAGTAAAACAGCCAAATATGAAACAGATGTGGCAGACTCTGTGGTGTCTTTTATTTGGAGTTCACTGGTACATGTATATATCGAGTCGACCAATGAGTGGAGTAACTATTGTTAATTCCTCGGTATATCTGAATGTCGAGTTGAAGGCCTCAGCAGATGTTTTCTTCTCCTTTTAAAGGTTTTGAATGAAAGATGCTTCGTAGGAATATAAAAAAAAACCCAGGTCGGCTAATAAGGTACATTTAGCGCACATCGGAACTGCAACAGTGTTGGATTGATTGTTATTGTTTTACGCCGAGTCGGCAATATTTCGGCCATATTTCGGCGGAACAGTTTGTTGGAAGAATTGGTGTCCAAAAACTACATGTTATTGATGTTATCAATGAGGAACTCAAGCATTGTTATTATCAACTTCAGAGTACTTGTGTGTAAAATCATAGTGATATTTAACAAAATAAGTTTGTTGATGACCAGTCAGAAGGTTTGAAAATTTC